TGCAGCTGTCAGGTTTTCTTTTTCTTTTGTTTTTACTGGCGATCTTTCCAACACGCATTACATTACGTATTTCATGGCACACTCGTTTTATGCGTATTTGGCGCCACCTATTGTTGTGGGTGTATTATTGACATGTCAAAGTCTAGACCCTGAATATAAGACGACCGCGTTTTTTCAGATGTTTTTCCAAGAAAAAAACATCGTCTTATATTCGGGTCAATACGGTAGTATTTTCTTGTAAAACATACTCTAATAATCTTACTTTATACTACAACTTAGTCTTTATTTACAACTTAATTTTTTATTTTTTTCCAGCATAAAGGATGGATTATAAACACTCCATACATATAATTTAGTACTATAAAATTCCCTAAAAATACTAAATATTACATAAAAAACATAGTAAATATAGTAGATTAATAAAAAAAACACACAAGGAGCACCAGAGGATTAAAAATCTTCTAAAGCGTTCAGATTCAAAGTGAACCTTTATTTTTATAGCTGAAATTTCAATATGTTCCTCATACAAAGTCACTATATGCATTCAGAAGACTTGAAATATAATGCATTCATCATATGGACTACTTTCATGGTGTATTTATGGTGCATATTTGTGATTTTTGGGCAAAAAAACTGTCAATGTGAGTAAATAATAACAGAAATTGCATTCTGGGTGAACTATTCCTTTAACTGCCATGGTATCCGACATAAGGATCCTGATTGTGGTGGGAAATGTGCAGTATTGATCCAGGACGGCAGCAGACAGTGCAAACATTTCACTTTCAATCTGAAAACAAAAAACCCACAATCCTCTCCAGTGAAGATGCAACTCCAAAAGAAACACAGAAATGGGCAAAGAAACCACAGCCTGGAGTTAATATTTCATTTTCATCTAAGGAAACACACTCAGGAGGGAAGGGCGGCTCTCAAGGTGAGCATGTGACCTTTGACCTCTGCGAGAAATGCAGCCCATCATCAGCATCTGCTCAATTCACTGTACCACAGCAGAGACATTTTCTGCTTCATTTCAGGATGCTTATGCACAGCTCAGCAACTGGAAATGACTTTTTAAAGGCCATTTATTGTCGAATAACATCAGATTGAAGGCTTCACCTCCAGAAAACAAACAGCGGTGGAAGATGAAGCCGTAAATGATCAGCTCCCGTGAGGAATGACTGATGCAACCCGCAAATGTATGTATTAGCTGAATAAACCAGAGGACTATGGGGCGTCATATAGACACTGCAGCGCATGTCATTCTGCGGCTAATATAAAGACCAAAGCAGCTTCATGAAACGTCCACACTTTAATGATGTGGATCAAAGAAAATGGAAAATGCACCAAATAGAGTTGTTTATGGAGTGCTGACTTTGGTAATCAAAACCAACGATTGCTTTCTGACTTCATCAAGAGTTCATTTAAAAGCAATTCAGGTTGTCTGTGCAGGAGACAAGAGAGAGACAACGCATTAATGCTGTTAAAAACTTCAGCTTGGGTTATTTCAACAGGGTCCTCACAGAAAATAGCAGGATTATTATTAAGAATATATAAGAAATACTACATATAAAAGA